CTATACGCATAAAAAAAACGTGGGCTTAACTTTTGGCGGCACAATATGTTAAAAATATTGGAAAAATGTCATATTTTCTTCCTATTTAATTATGTATCTTTTTAAGAGTTGATTTTAGGCAAAAATAGAAAAGGAAAAAAATGTTTGTAATTAAATTTTTTACAATACATGACTGGTTACAAATCGAATGAATCATGATTATTATGGTAAAAATCGAAAAAATCACAAAAATGGGATTAAAAAACAACACTTTTTAGGGATTTTTTTTGGTGTATTTAAATTGGGTGTAGGACCTTTATACTTGGCTCAAGAAAACCTCATGTTATGTGGAATCATCACACCAAATTTCATCAAAATCGGTTCGATAGATTTTGCATAATAATTTTGCAATCCATTTAAAAAAAAATTGCAAATTTTAAAAATTTTACACAGCAAAAACCAAGGCCCTTAGATACACATATAGAAGGGCGCTCAGGCTTTCAAACTTTTTTTGAAAAATTCGAATCCGTCAATTAGGAGAGCTCTGGTGCTTGTTTAAACATTGGTCGAATTTTTGTACTTATAAACAATTAGAACTCTGTGAATATTTAATCAAATCAAATTTTTTAAAGCACCACCACCACCCGTACGATTTTATTGAATTTCTCGCTTGCATAAATAACTTTAAACATGTTTTAAAGTAAGTTGCCAATGAAGAAAAGTATTGTAATCTTAGATCTGGTAAGTACTCGGAATACCAAAGGTATTTTTCGAAAAATTAGCCCGGATGTCCCAGTACATTTAGTGTAAATGACGGCTATAACTACGTAACTAATTGATCAATCGATCTGTTTTTTTTTAAAGAAGCGTCTTTCCAAGAACTTTTAAAACCTGCTTTAAAAAATTTGATTTGATTGAATATTCACAAAGTTCTAATTGTTTATAAGTACAAAAATTCGACCAATGTTTAAACAAGCGCCAGAGCTCTCCTAATTGACGGATTCGAATTTTTCAAAAAAAGTTTGAAAGCCTGAGAGCCCTTCTATATGTGATTAAATTTTCAAGTATCTAAGGGCCTTGGTTTTTGCTGTGCAAAATTTTGAAAATTTGCAATTTTTTTTTCAAAATCTGGATTGCAAAATTATTATGCAAAATCTATCGAACCGATTTTGATGAAATTTGGTGTGATGATTCTACATAACATGAAGTTTTCTTGAGCCAAGTATAAAGGTCCTACACCCAATTTAAATACACCAAAAAAATTCCCTAAAAAGTATTGTTTTTTAACCCCATTTTTGTGATTTTTTCGATTTTTACCATAATAATCATGATTCATTCGATTTGTAACCAGTCATGTATTGTAAAAAATTTAATTACAAACATTTTTTTCCTCTTCCATTTTCGCCTAAAATCAACTCTTGAAAAGATACATAATTAAATAGGAAGAAAAATATGACATTTTTCGAATTTTTTTAACATATTGTGCCGCCAAAAGTTAAGCCCACGTTTTTTTTTATGCGCATAGAAAAATTTTCATTTCTAGTGATATTTGAAAGCCAAAAAGCCAAAAATCTCCGTGGATATACGATTCACCCAAGCCAAAACAGATGCCGCCTGGGCTATACCATAAATTTATTATTATCAATGTTGTATTTAAATTTCGTTAATGAAAGTTGCAAAGCCGTTTCACATAAATATTTTTTACGAAAACCTAATTGGTTACTAAATAAAATATGATTCATTTCAAAGTACTCTAATAGCTGATTGTAAACTGCTAATTCCAAAACTTTTTCAAGAGATGGTAAAGTATTTATTGGTCTAAACTCACATGCTTTTGTTGTGTTAGAAACTTTTGGTATTGGAATAATAGTACATACTTGTTTTTAATTTGTTAGGAAATTTCCCATATTCTAGGGATACGTTAATAAAATTTAAAATTACATGACCTACAGAATTCACAATATGTTAATAATCTAGAATTTATAATATCATTAACACTACACTTATTTTCTAAACCTTTAAGAAGAATGTTTAATTCAGACATAGTAAGCAATTTAAATTTACAAATACCAGGATACAAATTGTAGTTTATGTTCTGCCATGTAGTACCTATATTTCCAATACTTAAAGCTATATCTTCAATACTATTTATAAAATATACATTAAAGTTTTTTATTTAAAAACTAGTAAGTGAAATAATTTGAAATTGGACACTATTATATTAAACATTGTTCAAAATCTGAGGGCTTTTCCTAAAATTTACATGCTCCAGTGGCGGAGATAGCGAGTATGGCATTTGTTTCTAAATAAATTACTACGCCACTGTTTTACGGTAATAACCATGATAATTTCGTATTGGTTTTTAAATGTTCCACAAATTACTACACTCTTATGTTTTTCGAAAATAGCCTGATTTTTGAGTAAAACTAAAAAAAACAACTGAAAACACTTTTACTTAAATGACATGACAAGCACTAATCGTTCAGTTATTTATTCGAACAAAAAAATTATTAACATTACTCATCATTTTAATGATTTTATTTGAGTAAATGCTCAAAAATATCTCAATTTCCACGAACACATGCCCGACATCTCTTTAGTAACGGAAATGTAATTTGTTCGAAATTTATTGTTGCTTGAATCTGATGAAAAGCATTATTTATTCTTTCTTCTAACTGCTCAGAATGTCAAAGTTGCTATCGTAGCCCAATATGTAATTTTAAACAGCATTATATTCGAATATCGAAGTGTGTTCTCAGTTCGTATATTTTTTAACACCATGTATCTCTTAAACGATGCGACCTAGATAAAAACTTTATAGGAAAGACTCCCCTTAAAATTCACTAAATAATACGAGGTTTCATTTTTGGCCACCATTTGGAAAGGTGTCCAGTTGCAAATTGTATACATATTGAACTGACCTTGCACTATGGCCATCTTGCTCACTCTTTCTATATATTGGTGGACTTAGCCAGTCATTGTTCCGAATTCTTCTATGGGTTGTTTAATTTTATTCTAACGCACTCAGTATTTTGTAAAGTATATTTAAACCCTTGAAACTTGGTGAATGACAGCCAGTTGATGGCCAGTATTCAGTCGTTGAAGATTTTGTTCTTAAAATTATTTTCAATATTTTAAAGCTCAACTGGACATATCTATTGAAGGGCCGGTGTTTAGAAGGCACCTCACAGTGTATTAAATCGATAAGTCGGTCAAGGAAAGTCAATGGCTGGCGGTTAGTAGTCGATGACCAGAGATCAAATGTTAAGTTTTTCAAAGGATTTTGGTATCTCGATGAGTTTCCAAGTTTTTATTCAAAGGTTTTTCAATTTCTTTGATGTATACCGAAGTTTAATTGTATTTTGAAGTATATTTTATGTTATCTCCATATATTTCCGGTGTGAAGGTATGGAATTTTGTTGTGTTTAAAAGACGTTTTCATAAACTTTTATGCTTTTTGAGGCAGTTTCAACATATTTTGACATACTTTACAGTACAAGCTAAACATTTTTACTCCAATTTACTCTTCTGTATTTTATGTGCACAGCTTGTAATTAAAGTTACCAGATCTATTTCATGACAGACCCGGAGACACGACCCGTAAGATGTACCATCAAAACCCGGAGATCTGCCAACCCTACTTGCAATCGTAAGCGTAAAATAATTAAATATATTGATACACAACTATTTTTGTTATACAGGGTGTTCTGAAAGTCCGTCAGGAAACTGCGGGAGGTGATTCTACGGATTAAAATAACAGCAGTATGTAATAATTTTTTTTCTCGAATTGTCAATTGTTTGCAAGTTCTAGCTTGTAGAATTCAATTTTTTTATTTTTCTATTTAAATAACTTATTTAATTCAAGTTCGCTTAGTCTCTCATTTGTCGCACCCACTAAGTAGATGAAGCTCTATGGACCAGTCAGAGAAAAATTTCATTATGCGCCGTTAGAGAACACTTCACCTAGAACTCAAAATTTGTTTTGTTCATAACTTTTTTCTCTTGCTAGACATCATAGAAATTTAATTATTGAAAAGAGAAACAATATCAGAAAAAATTATGTACACTTTGTTCAAGCCGATAAATGTAACCGTTTACCAGAAAATCGCTATTAATGTGTTATTAAACAGCAAATTTTTGATAATTTTTTCTATAATTAATCAAATTGCCATGCTTCAAATAAATATCATTAATAATTTTGGTGTTACGAATTGTAATAAAAATTGTTTAAAGCAGGTATGTTTAATTTTTCACCAAAATACCTTTTTTTCGGCTCTCTAATAGCGTTGTGGAAAAATAAGCTGAGGATAATGAATTTACTAATCATTTTTTATTTACTAACGAAGCTGGTTTTACAAGAGATGGTATTACAGAATGGCAACTTGATTAATTGCAGAAAGAGTTATCAAAAATTTGATGTTTAATAACACTTTAATAACACTGTTAAACATTTATCGGCTTGAATTAAAAGTAAGTACATAATTTTTTCTGATATTATTTCTCTTTTCAATAATCTCTGTGATGTGATGAAATTTTGAGTTCTCGGTAGAGTGCCCTCCAGCGGCGCATAATGAAACTTTTCTCTGACTGGTCCAATAGAGCTTCATCTACTTAGTGGGTGTAGCAAATGAGAGACTAATCGAACTTGAATTAAATAAGTTATTGAAATAGAAAAATAAAAAAAAGACAACTTTGACAAGCTGTAACTTGCAAACAATTGACAATTCGAAAAAAATTTTCATTACATACTGCTACTATTTTAATCCGTAGAATCACCTCCCAGAATTTCCTGACGCATTGTATTTGGAAAAAAATGTTTATACATCACATAATTTAAGTTACATTCTGTTTTAAATAAACAAATTCTTATATTTGGACAAGTGTCTTGTTTACATCACACAATTTAAGTTACATCTTGTTTTGTGACAGTCTATTTACCCCAGTTTCCCCTAAATTCTGCATGATGGTACGACAACCCCGATTCTAGCTTAAGGATTTCGCAGCACATAATCAAGACTTACCTTTGGCATAATCTCTGAGCCCCTTCCTGACGAGGATCGGCTGGCCGTCTTCCCTCTTCCACGTTATCCTAGGGGTGGGGTGTCCCGCGGCCCGGCACAGAAGGGTGGTGTTCTCGCCTTCCGATATCGACATGTCCCCGCTGGTGTCTTCATTTAGGATGTCCGGGGGCACTGCAAAGGAAACGAAACAAATTCAGCTGCGTTGTATTATTTAAATTATCGAGTTTGCGAGTTTAATAGACTTCTTCGGGCGGATCCACACGATAGCTTATTGTCGGTGATGGCGTTCTGTTGTGAGGGCGTAATAACTTTATACATAATATTAGACAAAGTTTTGTGGTCCTAGACAGTGACTGCTCGTTGATTGGGTTCTTAGAACCAAATGTAAAATACTAAATATAAAAAATATTAATCGTCTACAATTTTTATACATAATTGATTTCTATAACAAAGAAAGGACAGTTAACTTTACATATGGTTTACAGTTTTACTTTATACACCTAATTATTTATTACATGAAGAGGGATTTTTTTATTTTCTATTTTACGAAAAAAGTTGCGGAATTTAATTGTTTCAAGAAAAATTATCCACTAAACTCGCTGTTGCCAGGGTTACGTAGGTTAGCCTGTTTGTGGTTTGGTAGGGGTGGTTTCTAGAGGTCAGGTGGGTTAGTGGGTAGGCGGGTTAGCCCGATTGTAGTGCGGAATTTAATTATTTCAAGAAAAATAAGCAACTAAATTCGCTACTCCCAAGGTTATGTGGGTTAGCTTGCTTGTGGCTTGGTAGGTTTCTAAGGGTTAGGTGGGTTTATCTAGGAACCCGTGGAGTTTTGGGTTTCGCACCCATGAAGACAGGACGCCGAGATAACATACTAAAAATTCAGCCAATTTAACCATCAAAATCTATAAAAAATAATAGGTCTGACCTAAAAATCAAAAAAAAAATTTTGTAGGAATAAATTGTTTGCTCTTGACAAAGTCTTCTTATACTTCAGTTGAATTAGAATTTGAACGTGAAAAAGTCATTAGTAGACATTTTCATTTGCACTTACACTGCACGGTGATTCCTTTTTTTAAAATTATTGTAAAAATAAGCTCTATTTAATGCAAAAAGAGGAAATTTCCTAGCGGCTTTTGCATGACACTGGAACAAACTGTTTATAACGCTCTTAAGCAACTTCATTTCAACTGTTTGAAATTTTTCTTTTTCGATACATTTCTTTGGATCAATTAGAACCTAAATATACGATATTCAGGCCGAGTATGTATCTCATTTTATCATAATAACAGTTATGTTATTTCAGGGTTGTTAACGTTACCTGTTAAGATATAACATGCATGTTATTGAGGAATTTAGCAAATACTCGTATTGCAATTTTGTTGTTTTTTGAAGACGCTTTTGTGTCGACATTTTTAATAATAATTATGCAAAATTATTATAAACAAGAGTCAGTATTAGACAAAAACACATATAACTGACAGATGTCTTTTAGATTATGAAACACGAAACAAATGCAAACTCATAAATAACAGATAAGTACAACATAAAATAGTTTGTAACATGTTATCTTAAATTATAACAGAGTTTCTTAAAGGCAAGGAATTTGGTGTTGCTATAGTTTAACGTACGTGTTATTTGTCTAATGAAAATGAACGGCTTGTTAAATTTACATTTACTTGCCGGTTTTATAAACGCACATCGAAGGTAAGTTGTAAAATTTAAGTAACTTAGGTAAGTATTTACCCTAAAATTATTGTTAGGTTAAATCAAACGAAGAAGGATCTAACAAGGAAACTACCCCAACCCGAACTCTCCGATTTCCAATATTTTTATATATGTTGTAGACTCGGTTGTAGAACATAAAAAATTAAATGACATATTTTTTTTATCGGCGGAAAAACATATTTAGGGGGTGAAATACATCCTCAAAGTTCACCCCCCAAAACAGTTTTTTCTAAATATCTGGGGTTCTAATCAATATTTTGGAATGAAAAAAAATGTAAATTGCTTCTTATAAAAAAACAAATGTTTCACATTAGATTCCGTGTTTGGAGGCTGCTACCCTTATTTTTTATTTCAGAAAAACTATATTTTTCAAACATTTTTTATATATAAAAAAATTCATATTAAAAAAAATAAAAAATATGATTTATGTAAACAAATTGACAAAATAAAGTTCTCTTTTTAGGGGGTGAACAACCCTCTAGTGTGCTAAAAATGTCTGTACGATTAGAATTAACATTGCAAAATAAAAAGTTTTTACTTTTTCTCTAATCATACGAATAATTTGTTCTATTAGCCGCAAACAGATTTAAACGGATGCAAACTACCCCTCATGTTCACCCCCAAAATATTTCTGTGACATCTCAATATTTTGAAATGAAATAAAATGGAAATTACTTCTTTTAAAAAAATAAAATGTTTCACAAGTGATTTCGTGTTTGGGGGTTGCAACCCTTATTTTTTATTTCAGGAAAACAAAGTATATTTTCAAACATTTTTTATATATAAAAAATTCATATTGATTCAAAATATTAAAAATAAATATGATTTATGTAAACAAATTGACAAAAATAATTTCTCATTTTAGGGGGCGAACAACCCCCTAGTAATCCCCTAGTGTGCGAAAAATGTTTTAACTTTTTCTCTAATCATACGAATAATTTTTTCTCTTGGTCTAAAACGGATTTAAACAGATGCAAACTACCCCTGATGTTCACCCCCAAAAACAGTATATCCGTGATATCTCGGATTCTAATAAATATTTTGGAATGAAACAAAATGGAAATTACTGAACCCGTTTATTGGGGGATGAACAGCAGGGGTAGTTGATGAACAGCAGGGGTAGTTTGCATCAGTTTAAATCCGTTTTAGACCAATAGAAAAAATTATTCGTATGATTAGAGAAAAAGTAAAAACTTTTTATTTTAAAATGTTAATTCTAGTCAGCACAGAAATTTTTCGCACACTAGGGGGTTGTTCACCCCTTAAAAAGAGAACTTAATTTTGTCAATTTATTTACATAAATCATATTTTTAATTTTTTTTAACAAATATGAATTTTTTATATACCTATAAAAATTGTTTGAAAAATATAGTCTGAAATAAAAAATAAGGGTAGCAACCCCCAAACACGAAAACACTAATGAAACATCTGTTTTTTTATAAGAAGTAATTTTGCATTTTGATTCGTTCCAAAATATTGATGAGAACCCCAGATATTTAGAAAAATCTGTTTTGAGCAGGGGCGAACTTTGAAGATGTATTTCACCCCTAAACATGTTTTTCCGCCGATAAAAAAAATACGTCTTTTATTTTTTTTTTGTTTTGTGTGGTTTTCCCCAAATTCATGCTTAATAAATTAACTTTAGTAGCAAACTGTTGTCATAAAGCATTAATAAGTTTTAATTGTGATGGTTTCGTTCTGCCGGTACGTAATCTGTTGTTATGAAACATGAAACAAATACCTACAACGTAGAGCGCAAACTCGTAAATAAAGGGTACGTACAACATAAAATAGCGGCCGTGTTCTGTTTTATTTCATTACAATTAAATAACATGTCTGTTTGACGGATACTTATAAGATATATGTTATTACGGCATGTTATTTACAAACGTTATTTCTAACATAACATTTTAACGTAAATGGGATACATACTCGGCCTGATTAACTTCTAAAATTAACGTTTAGTAATTAAACAATTGCAAAAAAATAAACGAAATTAATTTACAAATAGCTGGAGCAGTAATTTCACGGTCAATTGAATAGGCGTTTGGTACACATGTTGGTCTTTGGATTGACCGTCTTTTCCATAAAATTCATCAGCATCCATCGCTGTTTGCAATAATAATGCGCAATTTTCAAAACTGATATTTCCGCGTTCGACCTTTATTTTACAGTTAAGAAATTAGTAAAAAATGACTCTAGGCACCTAAAATTGTAGGTAATTTAATTGCTAAATAAAATAAATAATATTCTGATAGGACATCCAGATTTTCGTGGGCAGTAAAAAAGTGAAAAACATGTAAATTTTCCACTTATTTGTAACTTGCCAACTTAGCATCACTTCTTTCGAGTTACTTTTTCTATATTATCATTCTACATATTCTTCCCCGTCATAAAGTACAATAAAATGCCTACTAATATTTTTTTCAAGTTTTCACGGTTTATGATCTAATTCGTCTGGAGTACCTATTAATATTTCAGAAATAAAAACCACAAGCGGCGAAATGTAAGTTTATAACTTAATGTTATTATTTCATGTACGTAATTCTATAATTTGTACATATCCCTGTTTGTAGTAGAAAGTATAATGAAAATGTTTGCGAGAATCCATTTCACCACATTCTTGTTTTTATTTAAAATCTTTAGAGTTTAAAAAAATGTCGATTAAATTCGTTCATTAACAGCATTTGTATACTACTTGTGGTAACATAACCGAAATACGGGAAAACCGATACAAACAGATGAAAACAACACTACGACTAATTAACAAATTTGTATTACAGGATACGTCAATTCAGTTCTACAGTTTATAGTCCCTGAATATCTAAACTACAATTTAATGAGATATCTGTACTTGGATCATTCAAAACCCATTAGTAACTTTGTGAAATGTTATTACTGGCAATGGCTGGTATTGTAATACGTAATATGAGGTGCTGTTTTCTTTTGTGATAAGGTGGGTGCCTCAAATTTGTCCGTCCTTAAATAGAACACAAGATAAAAGACGTATACCTACATCATCAGTGGAACTATATATCTTTTAATGGACATGTTATATCGTAAATAGAATATTAATTTTATGCAAGTTGTGTAGGGCAAGGCGTAAAATCCAATTGTTTCTTTCTAGTGAGAAACAAATGCCGGTGCATAGAGTAAATATTTTTCATAGTAAGTACATAAGTAATTATTCATACAATAGAGCACAAAATAAATATTTTACACATTAGTGTATAAAATACCCGCGGCACCTTTTTTGAATTATAATGTTTCAATATATCTAGTGCCATGCTCTAACAATATGAAAAAAAATGACGTACATAACATGAACAAGCCAATCATTCATTATTAATTCATTAACATTAAATTAATGGATTGGATGAGCTTGCAGATCATTGCACACATTCTCCAATCTGGAATCAAGCTGTACACCCATTTCCCTTTCCACGTAGATTTTTCCTCGATATTTGTTTTTTTTCACAGCGACTGCTGAACATCCCCCTTTGTACAAATAAAAAATCGAAAACAGAATTAAAATCCACTGAGCCAACACATCTAGAAGGGGATATTCGTCTTCTATTGAAATCCAAAATCGG